AGTAAAAAATGGTGACAGGAGCAAAAAAAAAGGAAGACATTGCTTAGATTTTCTGGAAAGACAAGCACAAAGCTAGATCACAAAGAGCAGAATAAAAACCCAGTCATATAATGACCTTGTCATGCCACATACCAACAGAAATGAAAAGTTCAAAGCAATGCTGACCTTGTGCAATGGTCAAAAGTTCCCCACATTAACCAAATGTTACCAGTACGGGAGAAATCCCAAAGAAGAATTTTTTAAAAAGCTGTTTCAAGTTACTCCATAGTTTCACAAAACGCAATCACATAATTCAGTACACTAACAGAAACTTCACAGAAACAAACAAGAGCAAATGAAAGACAGCATTAGTGATCCTGAAGATAGGTTATTTTAGAGCATAAAGCTGGAGGAGAAAAAGGATAAAGGTCAAAAAAGTATAAAGAAAGCTCTCAGAAATGTGAGCTTTGAATTATGTTATGTCAAAATAAACTTTAATGCAACAATAATAAAATTAGCATCCTTTGGCATAAACTCAAGTACATAGTCCAATGGGAAAGACTAGAGAATCTAGATGTCAATCTGTGCAACTGGTTTTCAGTGTAGAAAATAGAAGAAATATTTAGGATCAGTACAGCTGAATAGAGATCTTTGCTCAGAGTATAGAAGGAAATCCTTAAACTCAATAGCCCCAAAACAATAACCTGATTTAAAACTCAGCAATAAATCTCAAGAACATGTAACTGCAGTACTGTTCTCTATAGTACAATCAGCAAAAAAATGACAGTGGTATGTAAATAAGATACACTGTACAAAAAGACACTGAGGCTCTGTAAACAAAATGTACAGAACTTTACCAAAACAAAAAAAACCAATCCTAAATTCTTGCTGCATTTTATAAGTCAGAAGAGCACACCTTGGTGTGTAAATCCCATCATCAAAAGATAATTTTAAATGAGGAATATCTGTATATGAAACAAATTCAACATCACTGATTGTCAGATAAGTGCAGATCTAAAATATTTTAAACCTTGTGATATTATACAGTGAATATGTACAGTACAAGTAACAAATTAAAAATTAAACGAAACATTTCAAAGTGAGCAGTGTGCTAACCAATACACAGCAGCAGAATAGGTCTTATTCCAGGACATTTAGCTTGTTCATAATGTAGCACCCACCTGTCATCCCAGCATTTGGCAGGCTGAACCAGAAGCAGCACCATGAGTTCCAGACCAGCCTGTAATACATAGCAAGACCCTGGATCAAAAAACAAAACCAAAACATAAAGAGCTATGTGGCTTTGAGCAACGCATTTAAAGTTTTTGTACACAGTTTTCTCATTTGTGATAAAAGTAGATAGTACAATAATTTCTCAGAGACGTTACCACAGGAAGTACATATTTTAATCTATGCAAAGTATTAGCATAATTGTCACGTATTTATTAAATTGCATTTAAATGTATGTTGTTACTCTTGTACTGGAGCATTTCCTTCATCATTCTAGGGTTTCTGCCAGGGAAAAAATAAGAGGAAAAATGAGTTAAACTAGAACAAGCATGAAAATTTCACGCAAGACAGGGCCAGAAAACTGCAGACAAGAGGCAGCACTCACAAAGCGCCCCAGTACATTAAAAAAAATCAGTCTGTGCTCATCATGCTAGATAACTACAGCTGTCTGGGGAGTCGGTGTCCACACACATTGCATTGTGATCATTTTTAAGCCCTCTTACTCTCCCCACCCTCTCCTCTCCCTTCCTCATCACCAGTGCTCTACCTCTGTGTCCCTTCCCTCTACCATTTTTATTCTTAAACTATTTACATTTGGGTTTCTCATATAAGACAAATCATGCTATTCAATATATTTGTCTGAATCAACAGATGCCTAGCTCTAACGGCAGGTAGGGGAACCACATGCAACTTAAGTGAACCTGGAACCAGGCTAAATCCAGGCATATTTGCATGTAAAAGCTAAGCTGTTGGGGACCACTACAAAGTGGCTCCGAGCAGGAGTTAATATTAACCAACTGGCTTTCCGTGTTTACTTGAGTTGTCTGAAGGCTACAGCTGAGGATGTCTGGCTCCAACCCTAACTAAATTAAAGGAGACTGTACCTGCAGGCATCTCACTCCTGCTGTGAAGGCCTTCTATAGTACATAGTTCTTCTAAATTAACATAATGTATTACTTGATAGCATAGTTCTCCCCATAACTACAAATATGCCTTAGTGTCCTTATTCTCACATGGGTTGCACTGGAAGTGGTAGATTGGAATGAACTCCCTAGAATTCCAATAGCCTTTCCTGGGATTACAAAATATAAACTTCCAGGGCCGCAATGAGGACTGGGGTGGGGGGCGCTCTCTATAGAACAAAGTGTCTTTACCCTCTGCAGTAAGTCACTGCCTTATGCCCTTGTAGGATGTTGAAACTTTACCAGAGGAATTTACTCAGAGGGAAAAAAGACAAAGTTAGAGAAGAGGAGAGAAACCAGGCCTAGAAAGGCACCAGAGAGCACAATTAGAATAAGAACTTACAGTGAGGGTGTAATGCTCCCTCTTTTTTTGTTTTTTTTTTTTCAGGTACCGGGAATCAAACTCACGACATTGCACTGTGCCACTGAGCTAAACCCCGAGCCCCACAATGCTCTCTCCTGAAGAAATTAATCCGAGAAGGAGCTGGCAGGCAAAGCCTGAGGAAGAAAGCAGCCTGAAAACCAGGATAAACAAACAGCCCTGAACCACCAATGAAATGCAGAGCAGACATGGTGGCTACCTAAATTCAAAGAAACAATCATTTAGGATAGATAGATAGATAGATAGATAGATAGATAGATAGATAGATATGATAGATAAATAGATGATAGATAATAGATAGAGAGATAGATGCATAGATGATACATAAATAGATGATAGATAGATGATAGATGATAGATAGATAGATGATAGATAGATAGATAGATGATAGATAGGCTTACTATCTACATATTTACTATACAGGGTAACTGTATTACCACGCTAGGTCCACACATACCCCTGACACAAGCACACCATTTTATACATCATAAAAGTGTAGGAAGACTGAGCTCCTGGCCACCCACTTGGGGCCCCTCTGCCTCCCTCACACATAAGCTGTTTCTCTCAATAGGTATTTCCAGCTCTTAACCTCCATTTTCCTAGAATTCATTCCATGATTTTACAGAACATGAAGTTGGCATACTGGACATCTAACAGCTTGTGAGATATATTTCCCTTATGTAATTTGGATGATGTGGTTGTTCAGTGTCACCCCTATATCATATGCCCTATATGAATAGAATCATGCTTTTAGTTATAACACATTTCCTGATGAAAATTTTTATCATTCCATCCATGATATTGTCAGTCACAAAATAAATGTATGTCTGGAAATTTCATCTACACTCAGTCAAAAACAACAACAAAAAACAACAATCACAATAAAAAAAACTTCAGATTTAAATAATTCTGTGTCAAGTTAATAGTAAATAAAGTTTAGCTACAATTTAGAGTATCATGGGAGAGTGTGTTTATACTCTTCTCTCTGGAACTTCCTAGGGAATCGGGGAAAGTTTTTGCTCATTTACCCTTAGAATGTTTGTCCTTGGAATCATGCCAAGTATTCACTCTCCGGTACTGGGCCCAGAGGAGGACCAAATGCTGCGCTACCCTGAGTGCTTGTTATGTAGGGCACCCTGAAATTACCAAGCTGGGAAGCAACGGACTCACTGCTCTGCTTAAACTCACAATTGCTCACTGGGATAATTTTCAGACAAGACTGGCAGGTAAAATATGCATTTGATCAAGGCCTGAACAAATCTAGGCTGATTGAATTAACCTCAGAATTAAAAAAGAAAAATGCACAGAAATATAAAAGTCACATATCAAAAACTATAAAATAACTTATATTAAGGGAAACAAATATCACAGAAAGTCTCAGCTCCTTACACTGCTGTCATGTTTATTTCCAGGAAAAAAATTTGAAATTTTCAAATTTCTTAGCAGATATTATTGGAAAAAGTTTTTTCACCAACTTTGGTGCATGGTAAGTTTCATTGTTAAAATTGGAATGTTTTAGAAAAGATAAAATAGGGATTTTATCAGAAGACTATACATATGTATACATTTCAATCTTTTCAAAATTGCATTAATATATTCAAAGCAGAAACAGAGAGATGATAGAATTGTAATCAGCGCTGTAAAATGGCACTTCAAGGTCTTTTTCTTTTCCTTTCCTGTAGAGAACAGGGGCTTCCTGAGGCCAAGGCACAAACAACCACTTTCAGGAATGTGGAGCAACCGCCTATGTTTAAAAATACCTCGATGTTTAGCAAGTTATTTCACCCTCTCAGTTATGACTAGTATTGTTGTACTAGTAGTAGTTATGACTGAGTAGTATTCAGTAGTTCTACACTGTTTGCGGTGTATAATCTTAGTGTGCCCCACCTGAGTTTCCAAAAGAGTGAAATTGTTTTGTAATTAATGGCAAATGGCATTGGAAACTGAAGTTATTTGCATTATAATCTGTTACATATCCTTCCTCACTTTGGCTAAAACAAGTTATAAATAAGAATACAGCATTGTTAACATGCTCTCAGGAGGAAAATGTCTTGGTAGAAATCCAGTAACATGAAGTAATTGCTCTGACTTCACAAAAGGTCTTTCCTGTGTGTGCCCTTCTTGTGATCCAAACATCTGTGTATAATAGGGATTAGGCTATAAATTTTACATGTGAAATAAATGTGTTAATATAAGAAGTACTTAGGGTAGTGTTATATTCCAGCTAATTCCAGAGGATGTAACTTTTTCTTAAGTCAGATGAAAATGGAAATTTCCATGCATATGTTTCTTTGAAATTTTTGCTAATATTCAGCAAAGTTTTACAGATTCCAAGGAACAGTAAAATAATTATAACACATACTGGCTGTTCACACAAACAAATCTGGTTTTCAGTCACTCAGGATAAGCATAAACTTTGACATATTAATACTTCAAAACAGTACACCATGGGAAGAAGGAACTCCACCGATGTGCCTGACTTCATCCTCCTGGGGCTGGCGGACTCTGCAGAGGCGCAGCTGCTCCTCTTCCTGCTCTTCCTCCTCATCTACCTGGTCACGGTGCTGGGGAACGCAGGGATGATGCTGCTCATTCGCCTGGATGCCCAGCTGCACACCCCCATGTACTTTTTCCTCACCCACCTGTCCTTTCTCGACCTCAGCTACTCCAGCGTCATCACCCCTAGAACCTTACAGAACTTACTGGCTTCCTCCAAGAGCATCTCGTTCCTGGGCTGCTTCACCCAGATGTTCTTTTTTATAGTTTTTGGGGCTGCCGAATGCTTTCTTCTCTCCTCCATGGCCATTGACCGCTATGTAGCCATCTGCAGCCCTCTGCAATATCCAGTCATTATGTCCACAAGACGGTGCCGTGCCTTGCTGGCCAGCTCCTATGTTATTGGCTTTGTGGATTCTACTGTCAATGCAATTTTCATGAGCAGACTGCGGTTCTGCAACTCTAAAGTCATCCACCACTTTTTCTGTGACACATCTCCGATTTTAGCCCTGTCCTGCAGTGACACACACGAGGTTCAACTCATCATATTCATTTGTGCGGGATCTAACTTAGTGCTGTCCCTCGTCACCATATCTGGGTCCTACGTGTCCATTCTCTGCACTATCCTGAAAATGAGTTCCACTGCGGGAAAGCAAAAAGCCTTCTCGACCTGCGCCTCTCACCTCCTGGGAGTCACCGTCTTTTACAGCACCATGATCTTTACTTACTTAAAACCAAAGCAGTCCTACTCCTTGGGAAAGGATCAGGTGGCCTCTGTGTTTTACACGATCGTGATCCCCATGCTGAACCCTCTCATCTACAGCCTCAGAAACAAAGAGGTGAAACATGCTGTCCTTAGACTCCTGCAGAAAAGAGAGGGCTCCAGGCCGTTAAAACAACAATGTTGCTAGGCAGTTACAGTTGTCCACTGCTTTTTTTTTTCTTCTGAGAAATTCTTTCATCCCACTCCTCACATAACTAAATCTTGTTCTTATTTTCCACTCTCCATCTGCCCTCTGTTAACAAACATGATCTCTGGACATTTTGAGGCACAAGTTCTAAGAAATTCACAGTGTAATTTTGAGTCATAAATTAAACGCTAAATCTAAAATGCAAAACACCTTTAAGAACAAAGTCATGTGCAAAGAGAGAAAATTTTTGTAATTGTTAAATTCTACCATTATCATTTCTCTATATACTCGAATTGTATAGACTTTTAGGATGAAAAGCACTTCATTTTCATTTGTCACTCTGTTTACAGTGATTACGAGCAGCAAGGTCTGGGGCCATGGCTTTCAAATCAAGGTTACAGCATTTAGATTCTAGATCTGAATCTTCTCTCAGATTCCTCCACACTAACTCCCTGAAATAATAAGGTTTAGTATGTCCTTCTGCGTGTGATCTATAAAATTTCCATTTCCTCTCTTCAGAAGATGGAGACAGGAGGGCTGGGGATTTAGCTCAGCGGCACAGCGCCTGCCTGGCAAGCGCAAGGTCGTGAGTTCCATTCTTGGTACCGGAAGAAAAAACAAAAAAACCAAAAACCAGAAGATGGAGACAGACCTTTCAGGACAATACAATAATTGCTGGCCATTATCACCAAAAGACTTGGATTCCTGTAATATTTTGATATAATATGTAGTGCATTTTTCTCAATCATACTTCTTTATGCTTTGCAAATCTCTTTTTTCAATATAATTTACAAAGCAACGAAATAGCTAGAAAAATGAGGTAGGAGGTCCTGATTTTGCATTCTGAATAAGGAAATATGTTGAAGTAGAATTAAGTTACAGAAAATTGATGTATCTTTTTGTTGAGGAAAATTTGGAAAGCAATTATTAAAGAAAAGAGAGACATTTTATCTGTTGTTGACAGTTTTGTGCATGTCTTTCTATATCAGTGGTTATGAAGATATATCTATGCATATTCAATATAATTCCTGTGATACCTTGTATAATCTATGGTGCTTCCTTTATTCACTTTAAAGCTTAATATCTAATAATCTCTGAGTAATTAAAACCTATAACATTAATATATATTCAGTATATGAGTGAAATTAAGACTGTCATTGTACAGAGTTTTGAAGTTGAAATATTGTGAATTTCCCCATTTATAATCTGTGAACAATGCTAGCTGTCAGGTGTGTCCCTGTGAGCCGTGCTAATTCCTCTCCTTTCTGTGACATGATGAGGAGCCTCCATCAGCTGCTTGTTTGCCTTTCTCCTGGTGTCTTCAGGTTTGTAGTGTTCTTTAAAAATAAATTAAAGATTATCATGTTTGCCTCATTTGTTATACTCTTTAAATAAAACTGTTGGAAAGGAAAGAATTGCCAATGAATTTAGAATATGTGGAATTCCATATTAGATCAAATAGAGGGATAAAAGTTTCCAAAAGTATCTTATAAATATTTTATATCTACATGTATAATGTCAGTTTAAAATTTCTCTTTGGAATCTTGAGGTTATTTTATAATGTACAGTGCCATTTTCCAAGTAAGCTATTTTCTTTAAACTTCTGTAAAATTATTACACTGGTTGTTTTGTTTGAAAGATATGATCATAAAAATTATTTATTTTTAGAAATGTAAGTTCTTTTTATAAAAGAAAATATTTTGTTGCATTATGTGTCTAAAGTGCAACACCTCTATTTTAAGAATGAAGATTTAGCAATGATTTAATAATTTATACTGTTAATTATTTTATCTATGTATTTAAAAGTGTACTATATTTCACAAATTTCCAAATCAATGACAAAATTATGCCTTTTGTTACATCAGTATCACTGCAAGTTACTACTTATTCTACCTTCAGTATCTGTGTATTGTAGAATCTGTATTTGTAGATATTCCTGGTTGTTTGTCTTTGTGATTAGGGTTAAGAATTTAATAGATATTCATTTTCTCTCAAATATCCTCCCTCATCTTTTGTTTTACATAAATATTCTCCTTCAGGCCTATCCTCCCCCTAGCAGATCCCAAATTGTTACCCTCTCTTTCTGTTCCTGCGTAGTGAAAGACTTGAAGAATTTTTCAGAAAGTTTTAAATTACATATTGATATATGGTTTGTACTTCAGATACTGAAATTACCCATGGCTATTCTGTTCTCAAAAACAGTGCTAAAAGTTCCATCCAGTGATAAAATGGAGTGTACCGAGGGGCTGTCTGCATTGTTTCCTGCTGAGACACCCACAGCCCAAGACACGTCACAAAGACAAAGCCACTTACTCAAAAGATCTACACACAGTAGGTCTTACCCTCTGCATTCCCAGTGATCTTTAAACTTCAACACTCACAAACACACACACACACACCATGCACACACACAATAATCATCATAAAACAAAGAACCATATTTCCATATTTCCCCGAGTTCAGAACTCTCTAAAACAGATCTTACTGATATTTCTGTGGAAGAAATTTCAAAGAATTTTAAAGTGTGATAGTCAAAATGACCCATGATATCAAAGAGGATGCAAATAAGGAGCTGGATCCACCAAGCACTTAGATACTTCATGAGATCAATGAAGTTGCATTAGAGAACACAGTGAATGAGTCCAAGAGGAAATCATGGCACAGTGTATGATGGACTGCTTCATGGAAAAAGAGGATCTGCAAAATAACTAAGAAACCCTAGCAGTCAATCCGCTAATAGTCAAATGAAAAATCCAACTGACAGTCTCAACAAAAGTAAAGATGAATCACCAGAAACAAATGTCAGAATTAAACGACAAAGTGGATGTGCTGGGTCCATGACACAGAGAATACGGAAAGAGATGTCATGAGAAGATTAATTGAGAGCTCTTTGAAAATCTAAAAGAACACAAATGAAGACTCAAGTAGGGGGCTACAGTACAGGCCAATGGTATGGAAAACCTGGAATTACAGGAGAAAATTCTCCAGAACTAGGAAGCAGAGGCAAATAAGCAAGCAAAAAAGAAACCCCTCATAGCACATCAGAGTCAAATTGCCAAAAAATTTAGACATACAATATTAACAGTAGATGCAAATAAATACTAATCACCTACAATTCTTAACTCTGAGACCAAAAGAAAGCCTTTCCAACTGAAAATTTAAAAGCCAGAAGGGCTCAAATTGATGTATTTCAATCCCTGAAGAATAATTACAAACATATATTACTGTAGCAAATCTAGTTGAAGGAGAAATAAGCCTAAAGAAATACTTAGCAAATAGACAAGTATTGCACAAATTCTTTTTTTTTTTATATTTATTTATTTTATTTTAAGGATAAAAGGAGGGAAACATTAACAGACATACAACATTTTACAACATATCACAAGCACAATACAGACAATACAGAGTTACA